CAGCTAATGCCACACCACAAGGCCAAAATGCAAAATGGAATTCCCAAACTTGAATTGGACGCAATTAATTCGGCAACAAAAATATCAAAACAAGAAAATGTGTGCAGTTTTGTCCTGAGTTGACCACCTTCTGTTTAATGAAGACACATAAATCCCCACACAATGGGCTGCTAATTATGGCTGCAACCAACAATTATTTTCATTATCACTCTATCTGGCAATTATTTGCTGTTTATTTTTCAATTAGTTCATTAATCACAGGGGCTAAAAACTGTAACAAAATAGCAAATAAAAGCCGTTATGAATCCCCCTGAGTGCATGTATTCAGACAGAGCTACAGCCTTGTTTAACCAAGAGCCCAAAAATCAAACGATATTCAGTGTACTGTTATATATGACAAAGCAAATGATCAAATCCTTATTTGTGGGAAACTGGAACAAGAAAATATTTGGCTTTTTTTTTTTGCTTGAAAAATGCAAAAACTTTTAATCCACGATCAAAATAGTTGCAGATTCATATTCTCTTAATTGACTAACTGTTGCAGCTCAACTAATTAAATCAACAATCCAGAAGAAAAAAAGGAAACAAACTATCTGAATTATGAATAAAAACATTTTTCAGATCCTCTGGAAGTAAACACAAACTGAGAGAAAGGCTGCAGTGCAAATGAATGTACAGATTCCAGGATACACAACTGTAATGCTTATAATGGAATTAAAATGCCAGCGTGCATGAATCATGAATTCACCAGAGAACGATGAAGGGTAACGACATGTTCTGCGTGCTTTTGGAGATGTCGCATTTACAAGATGCTGCTTCTACAGTGAATTATCTCTGCTGGGTTTTAATGAGAGGACACGCTGATGAAGCCCGAACTGAACCGAAACTGCAGGCCTCTGCAACACAGAAATAGACAACTGCACTGCAACATCCTCCTAAGGCCGAGACGGCAAAACAGACCACCAACAAGAGCACAAACAATGCTCACGTTGATGCCACAGATATTTTCCGCATGCAGTTGGGTGAACACAATAACGCTGCACTGTGGCGATGGATGTGCTCCGCCCCAGACAACAAGACAACCCCCACCCCCCTGTCATCCCTGAGCCTTATTCACGCCTGGACTTCATTATGAAGTGTAACGGAAATAATCATAGGCAATCTGAAAGAATTTACAAGACAATGATTCAGCCCAAGTCATACCTCACCTACACAAAGAACAGTTAGGGTTGTGCAGCCTGAATGAGGTAAGACTAAAAAAACACAGACACTGTTAAAAGATAAGACGCAGGTTTTTAACCATTTTTTAGGCCACCGTGGGTTTTATATGCATATAGCACGTCATGAAAAAGGTTAAATAATTTTCTACTTGCTGTTCAATGTTATTTTTCCTAAAATGTTTCCTCTTACAAGTATAGTCAGGCCTTATGTTAAAAAAAAAAAACAAGGGGTCACAGTCCTTTGTTTGGACATTTTTTTAAAAAAATCTCCAGCAGCATTTTGCTTTCCAAGCGTCATCAGAATTCACTGACACGCCTGACTGATGCCATGCAGATGCAGCTGAGCATGGTGTCTTTGTTTATGCATCATCTGTAATTACATTTAGATTCAGAACAAGTGGATGAGACCTGGTGCAGCTCACAGGACGCTGGCATGGCCCACTGACATCCTACAGCACACACACAACACACACAACATGGACCTCCTTTCTAGCATTTGAACACACCGTTTCACGTTCACGTAGCTGCAAAAATCACTCAGATACTAGTAAAGGAAACCTCTACTATTGGGTATATTTTTTCCTCTAAATAATACTAATTTATCCACAAGATGTTTGTGGAAAATATTTGTTTTATTGCTGCAGTTTAAGCTAAAACAAAAGAAGCTGTCATATGTATCCAAAATATTACAATTTCTTTAAAAAAAATAAATGAGGAGATAAATGTCGCAATTTAACCTCAAAATAAAAATATCTATTTTTTAAAAAATGCCTTTCTGCACTGACAACCTATAGCACTAAATCCTAAACCTGAGCGGCCTCATGATTTACAAAAAAATAGACAAATAAAAAAAGTACGTAACAGGAAAGATAAATCAAAGTAGTTCTGCAGAAATCCTCATACAGCTGGTTTGTTGGTTCAAATGAGATGATGGCAAAATAAAAGGCCTTTTACTGAGCAGGACACACAAGCAGCCATCTGGATAACATGATCAGCACAGGAACAGTTTATATCAAATGTTTCTGCAGGTTTTCTTTGGGCAAAATTATTAGCCTGTGCTAGCAGTGGAAAAACAAGGGAATTAAGTCCTTTTCTGTTTCAATTAGACTTACATATCCTCAGAAAAAGAAAGCGAAAGGATGAGTGACCCCAACACTGACTGCAAGTGTTACAATAAAAGGTGAAGATAACTTTTCATAGCATTTCCCTCTCATATTTATCTCCATGTTTGGATGCCAGGAGAATTAACTGGTGGTTTTGTAACAGGACTGAGTTAAAAATACATGTCTGTATGTAAGATGGGTGTGCTATCAATAAACCAGTCACTTGATTTCTGCAAACAAACAATTTGAGGATGACAAAGGTCCAGTTGATAACAATCAGATTTGGGGGGAATCTGATTAAACAGAAGTTAATTATGTAGGGAAACTAATTTAATGAGCCAAGAATAAACTACACCTGTGCACTGACAGAGGAAGCAGACATGGCCTAAATGTCTTTTTTTTCTCTCTTTCATTGGATTTCCAGCCCACCTCCAGCACAGAAAGCCTCTCCAGAGCTCTGGTTGCTCCTCATCACCACTGCCCCTCTTACCTTTTTGTGTCTGTCTTTGAAAGGTAACGCAGGCCATGGCATCTCCTGCAAAAAGTCTTGCCAGTGTTTCTGGTCCTGATCAGACGAGATGAAGACGATTTCCAATTTGTCCTTGTGCTCAGACGCCTTTTTGAACCTGCTGTAAAACTCGCACAGGCTGCCGTTGAACTGCTTGCACGGCGCGTTCAGGCTGCATCCGAAGAAGAGCCCGACCAGGGACAGCTTGGCGCCCAGAGACTGCACGTCCACCTCGGCTTTCTCGCTGTTGACGAGCCGCTCCCCGAGCAGACTCACCAGAAACTCCGACATCGCAGCGTACAGTCCTCGAACACACAACGTTACCCTCAGCCGAGGCTGCTGTACATGTAACCGCTATGTTCAGGCGACACCCAGCACTTGGTCCACCTCCGACGTGAGGTTTTCGGCGAGCTCCGGCCCCGGCGAGGCGCTGCGGTCTGTGTCTCACCGCTGCTCGTCCTCCGGTGTGAGCGCTGTGCAGGAATGCGCTCCGCTTAAATCGCCCTGACTGCAACAGCGGTTGCGCTCTTTTTTTCAAGAAAGCACACACTTTCATCACGACATGTAGGTATTCTGTTTGTAGAGAAAACTCTTCATCAGCGCGTTATGCGGGATTTTCATGCGATAAGAGCTGCAAATTAACCCAAATTCTTTAAAAAAAAAAAAAAAAAATCTCAGTTTGCACGTTTTATATTTCTAAATACTGTCTAATGTTCACATTAAAAACAGCCGGATTACAGGCTAGGCCTTTAAAAATAACATCATATGCATTTAAATGCTAGGGGCTTTCATTATCTAATAAGTTTAATTAAACGACTATAAATTAAATTTCAAATATCCATGAAGTCTGGGGTGAAGCTCCGCTGCACTCCTGTGGACGTGCTGCCACTCAGTGTTCATTACAGGGAAATACCTGCAGGATGCAACAGATGTGGGATTATTGGGATTTACTGCAACAAATATAGTTGGGTACAGTGTCTAATAACTTTAAAAATACATATTATTTGAATATCAGTATAATTTGCACACAATAAGGATACCAAGGTGAACAAATGTAGAGAGTAATTAAATCATAGCAAAGCCTTGCTATTTTAAAACTAAATGTGAAATCTTGAGAAGAGGCCCCAGTGTGTAATTAAACCTAGCAAGTCACTTTGATATTTGATATATTGATATACTCTGACATTTTTACAGATTACAGATATCTATGTATTTTTTTGTTATTGTTTTTGCACAAACTAACAGATTACCCACCATATAACCCTCTACAGTGAATTAAACTTTGTATATTTGTACTCCTTATTTTTAAAAAAAAACAAAACAAACCCCCCCCCCCATAGAAACTCATCTTGTATTCTCAGAATATTCAATTGTACCTCAAAGGTACTTCTTTTGATTCCTTCAGACCAGTAAAATGACTATTTAGACATCAGTGAGGTCACGATCATCCAAGAAAAGACCTGGCATTACAAGTGACTTTATCTAGTGGTCAGCAGACTACCTATTACCTTGAGGTAGTGGCTAAAGAGCCTGCAAACACAAGAGCAGTTGTTTTAAACTGTTTTTTTTTAATCCTTCTTCTATCAACCTGCTCAACAAACAACAGTTCAGTCTGACCTCTTTATGTGTCCGGTCACATATTGGAGCTACACGGTTGATCTCTGGATCCTGTTTCCTATTTGTTCTTTTCTATATCTGTATACACAAAATGCAATTCGATGCCCTACTTGTATAATATGCACATTGGTTTTTATGAATGTGTGCAGTACATTATGTTTTAGGAGGTGAGGTTTCAAATACGGCTTATTCTGCACCTTGATCTGTACTTTTTGTTCTGTTGCCGTGCTGTCTGTCATCGTACAAAGCTGTTAAAAGTTTCTGAACCTCTGCCCAAGGCAAATACCCTGAGGGGATAATAAAGTTTATCTTATGGTATTTATGGCACAATTTCACACTTTGAAGGTGCCTAGAAAAGGAAATGTGTTGTAAACGGTACAAGAAGCAAGTAAACAGACAAAAAAAACTTGTAACATAAAGACCAAGTTTGTTACAATGTTCAGGAATAATCCAATTAAAACTTGCTCACAAGAATATTTGTCATGAGACGAGCCCATTTTTAACTTCAGGCCTTCATTGGAGTCACAACACAACAGATCACACACATGCAAATGTTCAACATCAAGTCTCACTTTATTCAAGGCCGACAGCAAGGCAACACAAACTGAATGCAAAAACAGTCACAGTAAGAAAAACATTGATTTTTTTTAAATCACTAACTAGTGTGTTTGACATTACATGAGGAGACACGTATCAACCTTACAATTACCGTTCAGCATTGATTGATTGCACATAGATCATAAATGTGTATGAATTAAATCCAGTATGTGTCCTTCTTGAAGGTATTCGGATATAAAATCACCATGATAGCTACGTGTTACTAATGAGGTTTATTATAAGAGTTGTAAACTCACACTGTAGCTGATTTGCATCAGATGTCAGTGGAGGATGTTCGGTGTGTATGGTTATCAATATTCAAAGATGCAGTAGTGCTGAAATTGAATGGTGTTTAATTGGATTTACTGTGAAACAGTGTGGAAATGTTGAATTCTTTATGAGTGATGTGAACAGTTCAGGGTCCCTCAGTCTTCAGTGAACATCATCCGAACCAGCTCTGCTTTGAAGCATTCCTCCTCCACAAGCTTCTGAGGCTGAAACAAAAACATTAAAACCATTGCTACAGGAATAATAAATAACGGGCATTTTATGTGAAACATTTAGGAATAAAATGAATGATAAGAGACATATTTGGGCTTTCTAGTAATATCTGAGGTCCTTTTTGCAAAAGTATTTAAGACTCTTCTTTATTCCGTGTTTAAAAAAAAGAAGTACATTCTGGTAGAATATATTCTTACTGTTCCATATCGCAGCAGAGTGGGGACTCCGCTCAGCTTCAGTGTCTTCTTGAAGTCATTACTTGGATCCTTCCAACTGAGGCATGAAATGAACATCATTAGGCAGCCGTTTAATACCCACCAGTACGACATTTTATACCAGGAACACCACTTTGTGCTCTGACTTTGTATATTAAGACTTCAGACCAATGCAAACAGATTCAGATGCATTTTAAACGTATTACTGTGTGGGTGTAAATTAATCAACGAATGCTTCTTTGGAGAGATAATGAAATTTCTATGAAGATGACTTTTCATTAAGCAGAACTCTAACTTGCCTCAACCTTCATAAAATCTCACATTTGCTGCGAAAGAAACACATTTGACTTCACTATTAAGAAATGTTATCTATGGGTTTTTTTCTTCTTCTCTTCTCTTGCGTTGTACAAACAGATATTATTCACGCCACACACAGGATCATTCTGATGGTACTGCAGACTGAAAGGATGTGCAGAATATTAAAATATGTTGTTAGGTGGCTCTATAGTTTGTCAGTCGCCTAAAATGCCTAAATTAATTCTGAAACTATTATGTAATAAATACAGTGGCTGAACAACAAAACCATTTTGATGATTGTATAACAATTTTAGTGTCTTGACAAAAAGTCTAAATTCAATTATCTGTCTTTCATTTTCTATTAGAACTGCAACCAATGATTATTTCTATTGTTGAATAATCCGTTCATTATTTTCTTGGTTAATTGATTAGTTGCTACGCCTACAAAAATGTAAGGAAATTGTGAAAAATGTTGATCAGTGTTTCCTCAAACCCCAGGATGACGCCCTTAAATGTCTTGTTTCGTCCACAACACAAAGATATTTAGCTTACTGTCATAGGAGTAAAGAAACCTGAAAATAGTCACTCTTTAAAACTCTAGGATCAAAGAATTTAGGTATTTTTCTTATTTTAAAAAATTAATCGTTGCATCTCTATTTCACATAATTTTAAAATAAAGTTATTTCAAGTCATGAGGACTTACAGGTTGTTTGCCACATTTGCCTATTTTAAAAAAAGCCATTTGCAGATGATGAAAAAATATTCAACAGACAAATTAATAATAAAACTTAGTTGCAGCTCTAATATGATGAGCTACAGCGGTGACAGTATATGCCAGATGTTGATATGATAAACAGTACGCTAAAACAGAGCTCAACAATGAGGTGATTTAAAAGTGAAAAATTGCATTCTGAGGCAATACAATTAGCAAATCGCAAATATGGAGTAGTTAGAGTGCCAAATTACAAAAATAAATCAATAAAAGAATAAAATGTTAAAAGTGAAAATAAAAAGAAGAATAAATTTAAAAAAAAAATGTATTTATTATTACTACGAAAATTATTAGATATTTATTATTATAATTAATAAAATAAATAAGCAATAATTTATTTTTAATTTTTATTTTATTTATTCTTCTTTTTATTTCCACTTTCATTTATTTTTTATTCTTTTATTGATTTATTTTTGTAATTTGGCACTCTCACTACTCATACGCAAAGGCTGCAATTTAAAATAAGTCATGTAGCATGTCTGATCCACAATTTACGCTCTTGTTTCAATGGTTTTGCAAATTCATGCTGTCCTCCATGTGTTAGAGCCACACTTTTTATACAATCTAGTATAATAGTGCTCAATCCCATTTTAAATCTTTTACACAGTAAATAATGAACTGAATCGTGTCTTTAAAGAATTACATTGCAAATCAGATTGCAACCGCAGTATCTGTCAGAAGAAGTGCAATTAGATATTTTGCCTCGTTCAGCTCTAGTAAAAATACTGACTAGGCTCTTTCTCCAACTTGACAGTAGATGAAGACCGAGCCCTCAGGAAGGTGAGTCATCTCTCCTCTGACCACTGGCTCAGCTAAAAAGGAAGAGAGAATAATGTTGAAAATGACTGAATCAAAGTGCACCATATATACAATAAATAGTATCCTGCAAAACTATATAGTCACTACTACAACAACACAAAGTTTGTTACACTTAGTTGCATGACCAAATATTTCAATCACGTCTACTCAAAAGCAAATGCAAGCAACTGTAGGCGCATAATTAACAATATTTGCAGGCGAAATAAATCTAAAGTCACCTTTTACACAGTCTGGACACCAACTCTTTCCCTGGGCGTCTTTATCGCCTGAAAAATAAGCAAAAATATCCTTTCCTGTTCTCTCAGACACAGCCTTACTGAATTCTTCATACCCGCGGACGTTAACTTCTTCGTAATGGGCCATGGTTTTGACCGAGCTAGTTTAGAAAAAGCGCAAAAGTAAACCGTTAGATCTGAGGCACTACAAGTGTTAAGAGAACTGCTGCTCCTGTGAACCTCTGAATACTGGACCTGGTACAAATACTCACAAGTTGACTGAACCACTTCCGCACTGTGCAAAGGTTCTTAAAGGGACCGCACAACCTAATCGGATGATAATAGCCTTTAAAATTTCTCTTCTTTAATTACAATGTGCATATTGCTTTTCACAATATTTATATTTTGGTAAACACTCCGTAAGTGTGCTGATTTGGGGTTTGATGTAATAATGAATTAGCTAGATTATTAAATTATTAAATGCGTTTGCGTTGATGTTTGACTGCTTTGACGATCCGTACTTGAGCAAACAAACTACTTCCGTGTGGTAGCGTTCCGTTGTTGTCATGGCGCCGTTTCAAACTGGTGACAAGCGCCGACTAAAATTTAAAACATCAACCATGTGTTATAGTTGAAATAACCTCCTCTTAGCGACGCTGTGTAGTTTATAATTTCTGTCCAAAGTGGAAAAAATAGTTACAGGCGACGGCGACATGGTCGAGTGGATGGTTTTAGGATTAACTTGATGTTAGCAAACTGAAATTGAGAAGCAAAGTTAGCTTACTAATGCTAAATCTCATTAGCAGTACGTATGAAGAGAAGTTGACTGTTTTAACAGGTTTGGTGGTTGTTTTCGCTGTAATGACTGCACAGTTCTTGCACAGCGCTCAGAGTCCAGAGAGAGGCTGGGTTGCTTTAGGTTCAACTCGAAACGACCGCAGCGTTTTAACTACAAGGATGTCCCAAACCAAGGTAAGCAGCTGTCTGAGAAATATCTAAAGCCTCATAATATTTAGCTGTCTTTGCTCTATGTAGCTCATGCTTAAGTGCAAACATGTACAGTTAGTTGTCAGTTAATTTGGTAGTACTGTTTTCTGTGTACATCAGAATCAGAAAGGTTTTCACATACAAGGAATTTGATTTTGTGTTTTAGTGTATACCAGTAAACAGTGACATAAAGATTAATAAAGTGTTGCCAGTTACTAGACAATAGGTGTTAGAAGACAAACAAGAAGCAGTGTTACACGCCAAGTGACAGTAAGTGGAATCTAGAGGATAATGAGTCACAAAAAGTAATAGAGGAAATGTACAAATTCATCTTACCTTATGAAGGCTTTAATGTCAGTTTCTTGCTGGGCCTGCTTTAGAGAGATGTTTAATGACATAATGTCATTTGTCCACTTGTATTAATAAGAAGAGACTATATAATATGTATTTCAGTATAGCACAATGCATTTCTACAAAATCGAGTATTACAGCTCTCAGAGTTCAAACAGTTTAACCCTCTGAATCCCAAGATTTTTTTTTTTGTCTTTTTGTCATTTTTCACTTCAATATAAAGCATCTCTATAGAAATAGCACAGCCATGGTTAGCAGAAAAGAAATCTCAAAAATGTCTTTTGTGTAGTCTGATTTAGTTATATTGTCATAAATAAACTAATTAAAAATGAAGTTTAAGTTCCTTGAATACTGGTTTTACAAAATTAGAAAAAGCCTGTAATCAGCATCTGCAATAGTTTTCAAAGTGTCCACCTGTGTTAGCAATATTGGATATAAATGAGTGTTCCATGTATTGTAGATATTTAACTTTTTACACTCTTATAGTCTCTACAAACTCAGTTTTTGAGTAATCCTAAAATAAACATATTTTATTCATCAAGTATTTATTTAATTTTACTGTCAGTCTCTCTTGTCATCTTCTCTCCGCTCCATATAAACGCAGCCTGCAGTTCACCTGAACAGTGCCTGCATTTTTTTTTCTGGCTGTTGGTCACAGCAAAGTCACTTGTGGTTTCTCAGTTATGCAGAGAAACACAGAGTATTTTGGTGTTGATAAGACCTGGAACAAACAGTTTATTTTGGTGATTTTTTTTGAGTGAGACTTGTAGAATACAATGAAGAAATATCACAATTTTAACCTTATTTTGGTTGTTTTTCATGATAAAAAGACACATCACAGACAATATTTTCTCAGACTGCTGGAAATGTGAAAGTCTGATGAATATCTGTGTTTACAGTTTCTTGCTGTGATAAATGATGTACTTTTGGTGTTTTATAAAAGAAAAACTCTGGTCTGTTGGTGGATTTGGGACTTCAGAGGGTTAGACTAAATACATAATGGAGGTAGGATTTATTGTTGGGCTGCTGCTTTAGATTGGATTTAGCTAGCTGTACCAAACAAACTAGCATGTGAGATCAAATTAAGTGAATGACAAAAGTACTTGCTGAGAAAGTGGTATGAAAAGCGTGGCTGAGTCTCACAACGGCTGTTAATATCAGATAAAACTGTCTGGTCTCTCGTACACCACAGCTGTTGTTCAATGAAGCCATCCCTGCAAGTGCCAGCAACCGTGCCACTTGTGTGGGCCCGCCAGCACCTATAGTGATAGAGAGACTGCTGCCACTGTCAGAGGTGCGTGAGAGTGTGAACAGCACTAGAAGCTCCTTCAGCTTCACTACGGTCTCTGAGGAGAGGCTCCAGGTTGCTGTTAAGCTGGCCAAGCGAGATCTAAGAAGAAGGCGTCTTGAGTCACTGACGAAATCCGCTACGAGGCCTTCTCAAGATGCCTCCCTCTTTGAAACAAGTGATGTTGAGCTGCTACAGGTAAATTGGTTAACAGTACATAATGCATCATTAACAAACTGTAAATAAAAACTGTCTATCCATAATAGTTTGCTGTTTCATGTTTTCCTTAAGGAATGGTTGTTACTTTGTTCAGACAATAACCATATTGAGTGATTTTCCCTCACTGTAGGAACTTGCCGCCACTCCAAGCAAGGCAAAGCCGAAGGCCTCCAGTCCAAAGGAGGAGGTTACCCGGCATGGAACCAAACAGCAAAAATCCCAGAAACATCCCATTTCTTCCATGCCCAGGGTCGGCCTATCACCCCCAACCAGAGACCCAGGCCCAAGGCAGGTGGAAGGAGGCAAACATGCACCTTTAAGCCATGAGATTCGCAAACTGCAAAATGAACTAGAAGTGTATATTCAGAAAGTGGAGGAGCTAGCTAACAGAGGTAACCCACAAAAATAGTTTGTTACTGTAGATTACATGTATAAATGCACAACTTAACTTAATAAAGTAATCACATATTTAGAACCTGCCACAATTAGGGCACTTTTCACATGACTTTACATTTACATTATGATGATCAGTAATGTGTGGTGGGTTTCAAACAACAGGAGAGAAAATAGAGGAGCCATTGGAACCTGAAGCACAAAGCAAGCTGGAGACACGAAGACAGAAGCAGGCAGCCCGCTCAGCACGCATCATTTATGTTCTCCAGCAGCAGGTATTTACATTTCTACCATTTGTAATTTATAAATCGCTGACATTTTCATTTGCTCCACATCTATAAACACTGTTCTGTTCCATTATTTATTAGGTCAAAGAGATACAAGAAGATATAGAAAAACTACGAAGCCAGAAAACGTGGGACACCAAAAAGGTATGGCTTCAACAATCATCAGACTTACTGCCATTTAAAGCTGCCATCATTTATTTATTCAAACTGAGATCAGGAAGTAAAATGACATTTTGAGCCTCAAACAAGAATCATTGTACTTGCAAGCTTTACTGCTAAGAAAGTTGAAATATATGTTACCTAATGATGAAATAATTTATTGTCTGTCCTTCTTCCAGTCCATGGCAATAAACAGGCTTGCAGCTGCCCACCGTGGAGCACTCAGGGCCTTGCAGGTTATCATCCACCAGCTTTCAGACCTATCTCATAGCAAGGTCCCCCCTCATTACAAAGAACTGGGCCAGCTGATTCGCCAGCTCTCTTTGTGCTCGGCTAAAATAGAAGTGGACCAGGGTTCAGCTGTGCCTGAGACGGCCCTTGACATCCTGCAGAAGCTAGAGGTGAGGAGCATCAAGTGTAATCAGAAAATGAAACATTAGCTGCTGTATGTGGGACTTTTTGTACATAGTCCCCCAGCTTTAGGATTGCATCGCGGGATTATAATTCTATACATATAGAAAGCTCACACACCATAAATGTCTTTCAGTGGAATGTTTTCATCTGTTTTCATAGTCAACCAATCTTAACCTCACTGAGTATTTATTTTACAAAATCAAGACAGAGCTCAGACATGAAGTGAAACTAACAGCACGCAGTTTAAGCAGAGGATTGCAAAAGAAGATTCTGTGTCTGTTTCTGTTCCTGGGTCACAAATATCAGAAATAATTTTAAGTCTAAGTTAACTTTTCCAATTACATTCTGTTCCACAAGACTGTGAGATAATGTGTAGAGAAGACTGTAGAGTTCCTACAACATTAATCTAATGTTGATTTATGCACTCTTGAATTAAAGCAAAGCGTCACTGTAGGTGGGTGTGCAGTGCAGTCACTTCATGACAGTTCTTGATGAACATTATATCTGTTGTGAGTGTTATCATTATAGTAAATTGCTAAAAGAAAAACATAATTGGGTTTTCTTAATAGTTTGGTTATTGTATATGTTATTGGTCTAAATATGCAGCTTATTTTACGTGACTAAAGCAAGTGAATCCAAGGCTGTAATATCACTCTATTCCTCGTAGACTTTGGATTCTGCTCTCAGTAAACAAGAGATGCTTGAGAAGATGCAGGCCCAAGCACGTCCTCCACACAGGAAGTCTCCTCATCGCAGCACGTCTCCCACTATTGCACCCAAGGGTCCCAGCCGCTTAACTGCACCTCGAGGACCTTGCAAACCCACAAATCTGAGGAGAGGTGTCCGTGGTGAGAATTGAGTGTTATTTTTGCCTGGAATATTGGCACATTTCCAAGCCAGCCTTTAGTAAGACAACTGTGGCTGTGTTGTCAATCATTTCTACTCTGTTTCTAATTGTCGTCATTCAGTAACAGTATGTATTAGTTCAATGTAAAATAATAGCAGTATTTTCCTTCATAATTTCCTGCTTAAGGCAAGTGCACTGAGATTAATTGTACGTGTGCCTTTTGGTGAAAGACAAACAGTTTAGTCTCCAGTGTATCTGGAAGTCACCTAAGGACTTTAGTGCAGTTGTGTTTGGGCCTCCCACTGTGCTTAAATGGCTGCAACCAGGCTGAAAATTGATAAGGAGCCGTGAAGAAGTGATTGAAAAACAGGAACAAGCGCAGAACTCTGGCCTTCGGCCCCCTGCTGCTTAGTCTTATGAGCAGTTAACTCCTGCTGGCTCCTATTGGGCTGAGAGGCATCCAGTGCAAAGAGATGACATAAACACCTACAATGAGTTTTAGCAGCAATCTAGATCTCCATAGAAACCAACTGTTACCTCAGCCCCTCCACCACATATCCCACTGGTTGTTAATTGTCTAATTGGTGGTGTTGTGTTTCCTCCTCAGTTTCAAGCTGCTTTTCTTGTATATAAGAGATAAAGGATATAGTTTGTTGTTACCGTATGTGTTTGTTATTTTGTATTTGAGAGGATTTAATCAATTAGGATTAAAACATATAAAACTGTTGTTTCAGCAGGGAGGAGAAAAGCCTCACAGAAGCCCAACACTACTGCTTCCCAGCCGGTGAACAGAAGGGAGGTGCTGAGGGCCGGCCTGGAGACCATTGCCCAGCAGAGGGAGCTGAGGGAACTGCAGGGGCGATCTCAGACAAACACCACCTACAGAAAAGGACTGCACTATGAGAGAAGAAAGGCTGGCATAATGAAGGTGCTGGACTTACTAAAGTTGAACTCTGAATTTATTATGTGGAGCCACACAAAAACTTCTTCACATTATATTGGAGGCAGTAAGGTTTGAGTTCTGTTTACATGCAGAGTGAAAAGATGTGCCAGAGGTCACACAGCAGAATCAAACAATGTGAGGTTCATGTCAACAAACTGAATATATATTTGTTGTTATTCTTGTCAGCACAATCAGATGCAAGATGCAGGCTTCCAGCAGCCTACAGTCTCCTCTCGGCTCAGAGTGAACCAGCTCCCTCAAAAAGAACCCTCCGTGCCATGGATACCTACATCCCCTCACTCTCCTCCTCCACAACGGTGAGCCAGTTATCGCTCTGTACATCTGATGACACATTGATTTTATTTAAAATCATGACTCTCAGCTCAATAGATGATTAATGTCATTATGAAACGAAGGTTATACTGGTGTAATGTCAGAAACTCTGATCTCAAGATAACAGTTTGCATGCAGTATGAATCAGTATATGTGAATCTTATTGCAAAAAGGCCTCTTAGTTATCGCATATTTGCCTGATCTCAATTATTTGCGCTTTGTGCATAATCGTTAGAGTTGTTTCTTATCTTTTCCAACATGTGTGCCCTTCTTTTGCTATGGTTTAAATACATTAACTGTTGATTCAGTTGATTAACTCTTGATATTAACATATTAACATTAACATATATATCTCATATTGAACGACTGCATTTTGATGGCCATCTGTTGACACTAATGTCATAGATTTAGCTGCAAAGCTGAACACCTCAATGCTGTGGGCATGTTTTTGTTTTAGGTCAAATGAGAAAAGGAGAGTCCAATAACTTGGATGAGGTGGTTTGTCAGATTTGCAGCCTAGAGGTGACGGTCAAAGTTGCTAATAGCACTCATTTAAAACTAATTGAGGCATAAAATGGACAGAAAAAATGGTTAATTGCAATTATTTGTGTCACAATTAATCATCAACTAAAAGTTCATGATCGTGATAGCCTTAAGTGCAAAGTGAATTATTGTGCTCTAGACACCCAACAAAAACACAGAAATACAGTCTTATGTAATGAGTTTCTAATGAATTCAGCCAGAATGTGGACGTGAGCAGGCTTCATCATAAAAATAGTAGTATTAGCTGCTACACTAATACCCAGCATTTACTGTAGGATTGTAGATTTGTCCAAATCACTGTTCCCACAGTGATATTGATAACAGGGCATGAAAACTGAAACAGGTGTTTTTTATATATAACTTATATGTCATTTACAATTTTTTAACTTTTATTCATCCCAATTGTTGGAGGTTTAATGTGTAAAAATGTCTCTTTCTCTTTACCTTTCTAGGATTTTTTTCCCTCCTGGCTCGTCTTTGTATAGTGCATATTTGTCTGTGCCATTGTGTATAATTCACTCTTCCTGCTATTGTCTCAACAGGTCCCCTCAAAGGGGCAGACCAGAGCCTCGTTGTCTCTTCTCTCCAGCAAAGCCTTCATCAAGCCCTCCGAAGCAGAAGGTGGGTGGTGGTTTGGAGGCAGAGCCAGCCCTGAGCTCAGAAAAGAAGAAAGACGCTCAGAATGAAGCATTAAGGTGAAGCTCACCTCCTACATGTATTTTTATTTGACCTGATTTTAATGTCTTACTTGCTTATTTCAGAATGACATATTATCGTTTCTCAGTTTAGCCATTTTGTGATTTTGTTACTTCTACTTCACAAATTAGATTATCTGTCCTAGCAAAAGCGAAAGAAATGCCAAGTGGATAAAATCTAGGGAAATGGAATGTTAATGAGTCCTCTCTCTGTATCCAGTGAGTTATTTCTAACCTTCATGCCAGACCCCACTTGCTGCGAGCCACAGGCAATCCTCTGATTCTAATTCACAGTTAATTCTTTCCAATAAATCTAGGTGCCCGCTAGATTGAGGCCATTTCTCTTTTTGAGTGATTAATAGTTGGCCTGTTTTTGCTGCTTATAAGCACCTCTGTGATTGAGTGTTCCACAAATGTCTCCGTTTAATCAAATCTTAATTACGACAATCGTGCGTTCCTATTAATCAGTGGCTAGCAGCCTGATTTTAGAGATGAGGATTATAAGTTATTTATGCGAAAAGCGTAATTGAGGTTGTATTTGGCTTTATGTGATGATTGCTGGCCTGCTGCAGGAGAGCTTGGCTGGATAAGATGACTATGCAGAGACTGAAAGAGCTCGACCACCTGAGTAAAGAAGAGACTGAACGCATTCGGAGATTAAGGTACTAATATAATTACAGTTTGAGCAGACTTAATGGATCTGAAGGGATGGAAGTCGAAGGTCACGGTGCAGTTTTAGTTATCGGATATTAAGCCAGCCAGGTGATAAGTGATTTTTTTTGTTGTTGTTTCCATTTGTACTCAAATTGCAACCTGTACTGACACCGTATGACGATAAATGCCATGCTGCAGTGGACTGAAATATAATAATGTCCAATATTCCTGATTAATGAGACAAATTACACTAAGCTCAATGGAGACAGAATATTGACAGAACAGGCTTTGCGCTCTCTCTAGAGAGCCCTGCTAATCACAGTATATACAGTATACTGTGTAGCAATTGGTATATTAATAGATGCATGCATCCTTTGCCTTTTGTAAACATCTGCTATTTAGATTGATTAAGAAGAAGAAGAAACATTTTCTACCACTAGACATGTCACTTTAAAAAAAAAGCCATGAATCTTGCTGCCAACCCACAGCAATAATCAACACAGTCATCTGCCACACCGCTTTATACACCAGGCTCACAAATAAATGTTGGGAATTGTAACATGACCACAATTATCTGCAGACAAAAGAACAGAACATAATGCAGGTTGTGACTGTAGCACATCTATTCAATACCAGACTGAGCCTGTGCTTCTATAGACCTCCACACATTTCCTAATTAGCCACTGGAGAGTTTGACTATATAAGGCCAGCAACAAAACACAGCATCAGCAGAGCAAAAGGTTGCAGTCAACACATTGCCCATACAGCATTAATTACATCACAGTGACTGTATGGGTTCATGCTTTTCTTTTCCCACCCACATAGGACTGTTGTATTTATTTACTCACCTAAAGAACAGCTAGAAGTCTGGGATGTCATACAAGGAAATGTGTGTCGTATTAATTAACAACAACTGCAGCCCCTTTCATTTTGCAGGTTCCAGGAAATTAATAATTTTGTGCATTATTTGTTCCTGGGACAATTGAATGAAATTACACTGTCATTAATGGGTTATTGTGTCTGTATTTTATAGCTATGAGTGGTTCATGTGGCACAATCACATTTCACAACACAAATGCAATATTTTTATAGTTAGGCAGCAGTAGAATAGAAACACATGAAATATCAAAGTGCAAGGAAGGTCTCTTCATATGTGTGGCGTGCCAGAAAAAGCTGTACACTATTTTTGGATGTTGTCTACAAATCTTTTTTATAGGCCTTTAAATTTTATAGCATTACAGCCACAACAATAAAATCACTGACAGGTTAAGGAGTAAATCCTAGTATTAATGTGGAGGTTATGTTGACATGTACCGCCCATACAAACATTGTCCGAGTTGTTTTTGTGGCACAATATTAGGCAATGTTATGGCTCACAGATGTAGTTTAATAATCAGGAGTAAAAAATGTTCTATTGTAGGTCATGGCATAAAGCGCACGTTTGGATCACTGTCAGCAGACGACAAGTACAACACCTCACCTGTCACTTGTTTACGGGTGATACGTTCTGCCCAACAGACCCCCGACACAATCAGCAGATTTCTTTCCTCTATAACATACTCACGTCACACCCTTCGAATTAATCTTTTTCGACTTAATATGCCCTGTGCTGATCTCAGCTGTAACTAACATGTCAGGCTTTGTGTTTAATTCAGTGGCACTGACAGTGAAAGAAACCTGAACAAATCGACTACAATGTCCACATGTTCTCTATGCAGAATGATGGAAGGTAATTGCAATAAATGTGAATGTTCAAGAAAACACAGAGCCTGATGAAGCCTGCCAGTAAGCGTGGCCTCAAAAACCGTGTAGTTTGATTAATTATCTTCTTTGAAACAAGTGACTCAGGGCTTTCTGAATAATGGAGGATTCAAAAGAGACAGTTGCTTGAAAACTTGTCCCTTTGGTCTAAAAAAAAAAACCAAAACGTTCTTTAAAAAAATAAATCAATTTATTTGACACTCACTTAGAATCCGAGTGGACTGGAGTTTGACTCATAAAATGATTTAATTAATATCATGTTTGAATGTTTGATGTTATCCAGAATAAAATATTTCACTTTATCTCTGAAAGTTAAAGCAGTTCAACCTCAGAACTTCTGTGACAGCTTGCGATGTGGGCGTGTTTTGGTTAACAGGTCTGAAGTTGGCTCGCCAACTCAGTGGGCTGAGAGAGCTGAGCAGGAGGCCAGAGACAGAATTCAGCCCCTTCTGGATGAAGTGCAGGTAGGACTTATTAGTTGCTTTGGGTAGTGCCAGATTTTACTTCCCTTTTTATGCGTCTCCTGAAGAAGAGAGAGACAGTCGATGCATCTTAACTGATAAAATAAAACATCTGTATTTACCCTTAGATTTACTGCAGTAAAATAAATAGTGATTTTTTTTCCCTGTGTGTTTATCTTGGCTTCATGGGCTAAGTGGGAGTACTTTGACTGTTTACTTCAACAGATTGTTGAGTCCAGGACCAGGATCAACTCGTCACTGAAGAATCGGCTGTCGGAGCAGGCTGCAGAGAGGGTACGCTGCATCTACTGCTGATAGTATCTCATAGGCAATTTGGCTTTGCTCTTGAATATGTACTAAATGTAGTTTCATGGCAATGTTTAAGACTTAAACGATTGTACAGTTAAGCCAAACATTATGCTTGTATTTTGTCCTGTGTTTTGTGGATGCCGTCATCCACAGGCAGCAGAGAGTGCTGAGCAGCTGAGTGAGGCACTGCTGGAGGATCTCTTGGAGGACACCACACGGGTAGCGTGGGCGGCCGAGGCAGACAGACAGTTGCAGGGCATGGCCCAGCGTAGGTTGCAGGCCCCCACCCTGGAGAGTATGCTGCTTCGCATGGAAGAGATACAGGTGAGAGCGGCTCGACAGAAAGGCCTACCTACAAAAGGTCACGGTGGAACCTGAAAGGTCGCCAGTGATCGACTTGGTTTTTAAAGTGAGCTGTTTTGACAGCTCGGGCCTGCTGCCGCTTACTGATGCAAGGTCCAGATTTAATTATGATGCTCGACTTGCTTGACGAGGCTCACTATTGGCAGGTAGACAGTATATTTATTGAATGTTTTTCCCTGTCTGTGTCTGAGCAGAAGGATCAGGAGGAAGTGAGGAGACGGTTTGCTTCCATCACTTATTCAGATCCTCTTTACTGGGATCGGCCAGGAGCAGCAGGTAAAAAGATGAAATAATCAGCTTCCTTTATATTTGTAATCGAAGCCAAAAGAGTGATTTCTTGGGTGTCTCCTGTAGGTGGAGACAGTGCCACAACTGCTAAGATTATGTGAATGCTTCTTTCCTTTCATTGTCTGTCTGTCTGTCCTCTGCTTCACCCCATCTCTCTTAAAACACAACTCCATTTACCCTTCCTCCCCTTTGTCTCTGCTCTTTCCAGGATCCCAGTGCAATGCTCCGGGCTCCAGGCCAGCCTCTCCTCAGCCAATTAGGCTCACAAGGCCAGTGCTGAAGCAGACTTCTGCAGCTGATATTTTCCTAGAGAAGCCTGTCGAAACAGGGTGGGTTACTATGTCCTTTACCTTTTTCTGCACCCAGATCGTTTCTATATCTCATCATTTGACAATGGCTTTTCTTCCATGCTGTTTGATTCTACCTGGAAAAAAAAAGTATCGTCTCAGAATATTAACTGGAGCCCAGTATCAAGGTTTGACCTATTTAACTTAATTCCCAATCTTTTGGGCTGAAATTATGCCTCCATTATCAGTCATCGGGGCTCCAGAGCAATACTGCAGATTGCATAAAATTATAATATACCCCTCTGCCTAGAAATGCAAATATGGAAATGGTGGATTTTTATAATGAGGAAAGTGTCAGCTCCTCTTTAATGCACTTGTTACGAGAAGAGTAATGTATCAAATTGCCGTTAATGGCTTTCTCTGGTTTGTGTTGCTTTACTAAGTGCAACAGCAGCGTCCTACACAGTCACTGATACTTTAAATCAGCCTCTAGACTTAAACAACAAAAAAAAAAAAACGTTAAATGTTTCTCCAGTGATGCACAATTTGTGTTTTTTGTCCCCGCATGACGCGTCACTGTCCTATAATGGCTCTTCCACTGGGAGGCTTCACTCACCCCACAAAACTCGCTTGGTGGCTACCGTACCCAGGGCAGAGTCTATTCCTGACTCGAGCAGCAGAATCCACAGAGAGAGACCCTCCACTGCCCAGGGCTTTAGCTGCAGCTGCTCTACTGCTTAAATTAATGAGAAACTTGGAAGGAAAAGAAAAGAGAATGAAAGGACTAGAAGTTGTTGACACAGACAAGCCAGCAGGATGCTTCTGACAAATTCAAGCTGTGACCATTAGTAAATTAAAGTCAGTCAGTGTTGGAGACCCTCAGGTTCAGCTCCCTCAATGGAAACTTTGCCCTCAGATGCTACGTGCCCGGGACTTGTCTTTAACTCTGTCTTCTTAATGCATCCATCAAGTAATAGCTTTTTCGAGACATTTTTTTCCACTAGTAATTCGTTTTCAGACGTATCCAGCCTTGCAGCTTCTAAACAGGAAAGAAGTCATTCGAGAACTGCCAAGTCATTTGTTCTGAAACTAGCTGAATCCCTGTAGCGTAAAACACAGACCTGCCTGCATCACTTTCATCTTCAGTCCAAATTACAGTGCCTTTTAAAAGTACTGGCACCCTGCTGGATCTTTTCATGTTTTATTTTTGTTAACACATTGGATCATAGTGGATGTAATTGGGCTTAAAAAAAAAAAAATCACAAATCGATAGGAAAATGCTTTGATTTTAAAGAAAACAAATCTTAGTTGACAAGTTGAACAAAATTTCTTACAAATATTGATCACACAAGGTAATCGTGTGCTGTATGTTGAACCCTAAACAAGTTTGAAGTGTTATCTTAAGCTACATTTTATTCTCTTCATAAAAAATGTGTAGCGTTTATTATGTGAAATAATTTTGTTAGCCGATAGTCAACTTTGTTGTCGATCAATGATGAGTTAAGCATCAAATCTAATGAAGTGGACGTTGGACAGTGGACATTTTCTATATGCTGACAAAATCATTTATACCCACCATTTGCCATGATGCAAAATCAGTTATTTTAGCCACCTGAACAAGGAATGATGACCTAATATAACTCCAGCTCATCTTCAATATGTGAGCTCTGGCCAGAAGCTATTAAGCACCACAGGAGTCTCTGTCATGGTGGCCTGCTGCTAGTTAATTCCCTACAATGCTCTCTGCTTGCCAATACGGGACTACCTGGAGTACTAGCCCCAGCCTCCTTATGTCACTACAATATAAACTGCGTTGTTTTCCACCTCATCAAACAGTAATAGGCTCCACCTAGGGGGACCCCCAGGTACCACAGCTCATGTACAATACATTTTCTGACATGCTTGTCCTTCATTTTTTGCTTCATCAGTTAATTTTTTTACGGAATCAGATAACATTCACTCATATAGAACAGGATGTATCAATATAGAAATAAAAAGATGTTATTATCCAAGTGATCAGCCCAATATTTCAGCACTTGCTTGCCTTATACAAGCTGCCTTATTGAGTTAATCTGTTTATGTTTTCAATGGGAAATTTCTTGGCCATAGTTAGAGAGAAGATCATTGTTTTTTTGCTGTTGCTATATTGATTTTAAAAAAAGTCCCTTTGTAGTCCTTGATGGTGACAGACCAATTCAGCAGCACTGAGAGTGGGTAGCTTTGCCGTCTGCTGACTCACACATGCCATCCGAGAATCGCTTTTGCATTTGATGCTCCTCAATAATGGCGCTGTAAGATTAGGGAGGAGGTCCTACTAAACATTACAGCAAAACTTTGTTTGCACTGATAGGAGTTATGCTTAGGAAGCTTGGCTGCATAATATTTTGTGGCTCCAAATTCACTTCCCTTGCAGTAACTGTACTATTTTGCATAAGAAAAAGAATTACTATCGATTGTAATACATCAGTCACCTCTTCCTCACTCTCAATGAAGAACCAGCCCATTTCGCAGTCACTTGTCCTCTGCTTGGATAGTACAGTACTTTATGGAACAAATATTTATTTTTACATTTGTTAACCCCACAATCTTTTTTTTTTTTTGTGTTGGCACAATCATATATTTGTGTATCAGAATGGCTAACCCTAAGAATGACTGTGCCAGTAAAGGTTACACATTTGATTTGTGAGTCCTATTATGCGCACAAAGTCTCCAAACAGCTTTTTTTTCATACGCCTGACAACAAAGTGCAAGCAGGAGCTTGTCCATCTACAGCAGCTATGTGTTTCCACTGTGCTTAGTCCCCTAAGAAGTAATAAAACTGGAAGTAGGGAGTCATTTGGTGCAAGATAGAAAGAGGCATTGTGTTTATTAGGCACATTGTTTTATAGAGCTGTCTTTTGGGGCCAACATGTTGCCTCGTAAACTGAACTGACCTCCAAGAAAGATGAGCTGGCTTACCCGTGTTACAGACTAAAATGACCCAGGTGCCACATAACAGCAGAGACAAGGTAAAGAAAAGTTTTGATTACAGCACTGTCAAAACAGAAGCACACACAATGCGCACAGAACTGCATCGACGCCATCTCACCCTTCAGTTGTTGCAGCCTGCATACTGAATTCAGCTCTTATTGCTTTGTGATGCCAGCATGTATCTTTCATTTAGGGCATGTCAGGATGTGTCAGTATTCAGAGGGAAGGAATAGAATCCGAGTTCCACAGTGGTCCTTCACATAGCTGTGAAATGACATGTGACAGCTTCTATTTGCTGCCCGAGGAAGTCAGCATCATGAATGTACAACTAAAACCGTTCAATTCCTCTACTGAAAAGCAAATCTTGCAAGAATATAATTTAGATTTAATGATAATGTCTCTCTTTTATGGCAGAGAGCAAACAGTCAGCATTACAGAACATAATTTGCCATGCGATAAAAACTGTTATTTTGAAGAGATGGAAACTCGGATGAGACAGAATGGGAGAATTATCGATGACGGCGATACAGTTTATGCAACAGCTGAGTAAAATAGCACTTGCATCAGATCCCGTGGTGAAAAATGCAGTTTGTTTTCGTATTGATTGTGGGATTTGTGTTAATCCTCTGTCAGTGTTGACTCTTCCAGGACTCAGTGTAGCAGAATGGCGAGGTTTAATTTGGATGGGGTTTGGAGCAGTAAAATGTGCAAAGAGCTCATCATGTGTGTTGTCTCAGCCATGATTAGTTGTTTATAACCCACATTTTTAAGCCCAAAGAGACGCGTCAGGCTCCACGGGGGAAACCAGAGTCACGCATATGATTTTTGTGCCCCTTGCACACATTTCAACACACCACAGGACGGGGGGGAAAAAAAACATCATATGACGGCGACAAAGCTGCAGATTTTTCTCAGTGTGCCTATCACTGGAGGCGTCTTTGATTGTATTGTTTGATGACTAAGAGGGACACCGGCAGACTGTTATTGGTTATGGCTTTTTTTTTTCTTCCATATTTTGATTTAGCTGCTGTTATTGAGGCACAGAGCCCGAAGAAGGCGAGGATTGATGGGCGAATGTAATTTTTTCAGAAGAATTGCTCTGATTTCGGAGAAAAAAGAAAGAAAGAAATAAAGTAGATTAGTTTTTGTTGTTTACAGGTGCTCATGCTGCTCTTTCAGCCGTAGATAGTTAGTCACGACATGCAGCATCAGGGCCTTTCACAAGAGCGGGGCCGACAAGTTGTTCACACAATACTACTTTTTAACGCTCCCATCAACTATCACCAGACCTTTCAGCATTTCCACAGCAGCGTCTTTTATTCTTTACCATGACTGTGTTTGTACTTGTGCCCGCGTGAGTGCTTTCAAACGGCCACTGAGACAATAGAGGGAAAGATTTCATCGTTTAACACACCAACAGAGCAGCAGATAAGATTTATGTATCCATGGTGAGGAGCATAAATGCAGACCCTGATTGTCCTTCCAAACACACACACACACACACACCTTGACTAATGTTGACCGACCCACTGCAGCTCCATCAGCAGTTCAAACAAATCAATAAAAAGATGAAAGCCCCACTCAGCAATATTGTACACCTTTCATGTGTTTCTTTATCATCTCTCTCCCCCGCCCACCTTTTTGTTGTCTTTTCAGGCCAAATATTTCACTACTTGGTAGCTGGTGGACTTCCATCCTTCTCTGCATCCAAGTTCACATGGGCCCCAATTTATCATCATCCAAGACCTTGTTTTTTTGGAACATCTTAAGATTTCTGAGTCATGTTTTTCCAAGTAAACAAGAAAACTTCATATTTTGCCCCCCTGCTATTCATCCTCCACCTCTTTCTTGCCACGCTGATCTTCCCCGGGCTTCTGTGAGTCTCGCTTGAATCACCCCCTACTGTCTCGGAGCCACTTTTGGTTTTATCTAACTCAGCTCCAACCAAGCCTGAGTCCCTTTTGATACATCACACATGGCGGCGTCCTTTGCCAGGTCCCGTGTTTGCCAGGTGCTACATGGCTGCAGCTTTTGTAGAGAAATGAGAAGACAAACTTGAAGTGATCTCGCTAATAGGTAATGCTGCCTCTCTGTTTCGGCCGTCGTGTGTCCCGTTCAGGCCAAGTTGAATCTGGGTGAATGTGACAGGTAGAGGATGTTATTCAGTGGTTCAACCGTGTAATTTTGTACTCCTTTGTTCACACTGAAACATACACAGCCTCGCAAGCACCTACATTTACTGAACTGTTCGTTATAGCTGGCTTATACTGTTGTCTTATAGTCCCGTCAGTGAATTTCACAGGGCAGGATAGAGTGACAAGGTACCTGTAACACTTTTTCACAACATTTCTAATATGCTTTCCTCAATTCAATTTCGTGCAGAAGGTCTTTTGTGCCAACGTGTCTGAATGGTGTTTGTTCACAGTAGATGCAGGCTGGTCCCTGTTCATATTCGAATATGGCACAAAAAGCGTGGGTGCCATTCTGACTTTATAAATGGGCTGTGAGTTCGTATTGTTGCTTGTGCCACATCAGCCCTCCGGTGCCCGCCTGACAGTAAATCGACCCATTTCGGAAAAGGAAGCAGAGTAGACTGTGCTGGCACTTTGATATTTATGGCCACCCCACGGTTTGCAGCCCCCATAGTCAAAACTGAAACAAGTTCAGCCGAGGCCCAGGGAGCACAATAGAGAGGCACTTTGCTTGGAAGCTGCTGCAACACTAAATATAGCACGTTGAGCGCCGTTGCAGGAGCCAGGCTGATTTGTCCAAGCAGAGAGGATTATAAAGCCAGACCATGGTGATGCCCAGCTGAGCCCCGATTCATTTGAAGCAAGGGGCAGGCGAAAGAGCCGCCCTGCACTCTGACACCTCTCCTAAATTCATCATCCTCAGCCTCATATTGGGCACGGCGACAATTTCTGGTCTATCACCAAAAAATGAGTTTGTTGCTTCTCTGCAGAAACAGTCCTCAGAGGCTGTTTACCCAGTTCATACTGAACGGTCATCATAATGAAAAGGTTTACCTGTTGGTGCACGCCATCCTCTCCTGTTTTTTTCTACAGGCACAGCTTACTGTTTGAGAACAACCTGACGGAGGAGGAATACCAAGAACAGCACCAGCACCAGCCCAGAAACAGCACCATGTTCCCAGGCCCAGGGGAGGGAAACAGGGGGACTGTTATCTCAGTGCCAGGCAGCATGCTCGGAAACATCCGAAGGTACCGTGAAGACTTTGAGGCCTACCTGCACGTTGTGGCTCACGAGGCTGTCGGCAGCTTCAACCCCTGGGCCGTCGCAGACAGGTAACAAACTGGCAGTGATAATAATAGCCGATAATGATAAATGAACCAAAGTGTTACTTCAGGCAGGGCGCTCAAGTGGTGCTTGTATTAGCTGATGGGTCCAGCTGTTATGCTTTACAACAATTGGCTTATTCACAACGGTGCAGCTAGTAACATCCAAACATACTCATTAAGGTGCATGCAGCAGACATTATGACGTGACACTAGTCATTGTTGTTCTGACAATGACTCTCATGGGTCGTTTGCTGCCTCATCCTCATGAAGTGGTTCATGTTGTTGATTTAACTAAGGTTGAAATGTGTGTGTGAGATTAGCTTTCTCAGCAAAACCTGTGTCGCTGCTGAAAGCCCTTTTCCAGTATAAACCCATTTACTATTAATGGTCTCTTTCTTCATGTACAATTAACCGTAAATTATTCATACCCATGGCAAATTTTGTTTTATAGTAATTTTGGCGTGTAGGTTTCTTCTAGCTGGAAATGACATAAACAGGCGACAGAGTTGTTATTAGTAATAACTTTGTAATATAAGTTGCAAATTGCTTAACAATAAAAACAAAAATTGCAAGGAAATATCAAGGAAAAACAAAAACTATCACAAATGAAATTGAAATAAGTGATAAGGATCATAGGCAGTTAGTAGATGACAGATACAGTCACCTGCCTGATCATTCAAGGCTTAATATATAATATGGTCACTTCTCTTGGTGCATGTTAAAATGCCTGGCAGCAGAATTTTGAATTAGCGGCAGTCTTTAGATGTCGTTATCCCAGAATAACATGCGTCATGTTAGCCTGGGTTACCTGGAGAGGAATGAACTGGCCTTAGTGTCTCAATTGGGCAAAATAAGACGGCACCACTTTGATCATCTGAGCATCAAAAGACAACTCAGAGTCAAAACTAACACCAAAGTTGTGGGTCTCTTGCTGAAGCACCAGACTAGAGGAGAGATTGTTAATGCTGCGTATCAGGGCTAAGGAGGGGGTAAGTATGATCACTTTAGATGTGAAGTCTGGCATCATGCTTATGATTAACTTTGGACCTCTCCTGTTCAAACTCCACTTCTCTTTTACAATGATGTGTAGGTCTTTGAGATTAGACGGCTTGTTTGCTGTTACTCTGGTTTTCAGTTCCCTTCACAGATTCTTGATCGAGTCAGGCTCTGAAATCTGAGCTGAGCTGCTGCAAAATGTTGACGCTGTTTTCTTGTAACTGTGTCTTGGCCACTTTAACAGCAGGTTTTGCATCATTGTCCTGTCAGAAGGTCCAATGCTGCCCAAAGCCAACTTTTTCTGAAGAGCGTCTGATGTTTTTGTGCAGAATCTTAATGTGGTCCTTTTTTCTCATGATGCAATTTAGTTTGACAAGGTTGCCTGACCCATTGGCTGAATAAACCCTGAAGCGTTACATTCCCACCACCATGCTTGACCACGGGGATGGTGTTCTTGGGGCTGAATTTGTCCCCTTGTTTTGTTTTGTTTTTTGCCAAATGAACACCACGTCCCTCAAGCTCCATTTTTTTTTGTCATAGCTGACTGCAGAAGCAGAAAAAGTGGCATCTTTAATACGTCTTACTGTCTTTTGTCTCTTGTTTATATGATTTCCAGGCAGAAGATAACAGTCGATCAGATACAAATGACTAAATATATGGATGTAAAGAACGTTGAGCTTATCGTTAAGTGTCTCAGACGGAAATTCAGTCATCTTTTTGTGTTGTTGGGGTTTATTTAACAAATCTGTCACATTTTAGTAGGCTCAGTTTTTGTAACCAGAGCCACACTGACAAACTTGTCCTTCCTGCTCTCTGATTTGTCCCTGGGCATGTTTGACGGACGCAGCGTACAGCCCCGAAGTGCTCACTCTGAGAGGATCACGCAGAGTTTATGGCTCACATTGTGTGTCTCTGGTGTTCATCGTTGGTCTTCTCTCCCACTCCTACATTTGCATTCTTAACAGAATGCTTAAGTTGGTGCAATGCGGGCTCCTTCTCATCTTTGTGAACAAATCCAAGTGTTTGATATATCAGTGCTAAACTTCTCAAAGATAGATTTTTCTCCTGGTGTTTCACAGATTTGCGTGGGATTGTGACCAGCTCAATAAACTGCAGTTTCTTAAATTCAGAGCTGAAAAGCTGTTGTCCAGTCCCACCCGTAGGATCTGCCTGATTGTTTCACCGGCTCATTATCAGCCACACATCAAGGAACCGTAGTTTTCAAGGCATGGATCTGTACTTTTCTGAATTTGTGGGAGAAAAACGAATAGTGTGTGAGGGGGAAGCAGTCCAATTATCTCAGTGTTTTTGGAGACAGAGGACACATACATATAGGCTTGTGCACCCCCTACTATTCTGACTCAGCGCAGAAACCTTTCTGTGTGATGAGATGGTAATGAGCAGCGTAATGGTGCCGTGGAGCCATACCACCTGGAGGATCTCATTCGCTCTGTCTGCTAACAGATTGATTGCAACACGGAATGACTTCAGCACTGCCAAAACATAAAAAGTTTGCGTACTTGGAGCTGTTTTATGCTCCGTTTGAATTTCTTTGATGGATTTATTTCAACTGATGAGCATTGAAACACTTGACAAAACTGAGGAATTCAGTGTTTGGATAATAATTGCTAATGGCTGTTCCCATGTTCCATGATGGTGGATTATTTACTGTCCGTATCCAGTGTTGAAAGTATTCCTGTCTCAACCCTTTCAAGGTTCAGGTAGTTCAGCAGCGCACAATTACTCTGATAGTTTTGTTGCACTGCCAACCAGATGATTTGGGGGCATTCAGTAAGAGTGTTTTCCATTTTTACTCATCCTCCATGTCCCTGCCTCAGCGTGCGTCTCTGGATGTGTTGACCCAGATAATCATCAAACGCTACATTTTAGCTTGTTGCTGCACCCGGCTCACCAGTCTTTAATGATATTTTTCTTCCTTTTATGCCGTTTCAAGCCAAGATGGAAAATTTAAGAGTTTTCCATGCCCAACTCTGAACGTCAGCAGGCTCATTCGTTAGGAAAAAATGTGCTTGCGATAATAAGATAAGATACAATTATAACAATCTTGTAGGAAATTCTTGCGACAGGTATTGCTCATGTCATAGGAAAGTTCCGTGCCTAATAGAAAAGTGCTATACATGACTGAAAATATAATAAATATGGTGATGAAACTAGAAGAGGAAAGCAAGAAGTAATACAGGCAGTGATTTTGAGGTGGTAAAGTAATATCACACATTATAAAGAAATATTGAAATTGAAATGTTGCACCTAGAAAATGAAATATTGCACATTGCACTGACATGTTGTGCATGAAAATGAAATATGACATGATACTGAAACTAATTTCATACAAACTATTCAGAAAGTAATATAGTGCAAATGACACTGATATTATTTTTCTGAATTAAGCCGTCATTCCTGCAGAAGGGGAGAAGTTATACAGCTTGAAGTGATACAAGGCTGCTGATTGCTGCTGATTTTCTCTTTATATCTTGAGAAGTGCATTCAAAGGACGTGTTGTAAGAATTTGCATTTCTCGTCGTCCTTATTGTGTTGACAAATTGTCGTCTCAAATCTACAGACAAGAACAATACAAATAATAATGTATTTTATAACAATAACTGTCTGTTTTTTCGAGATTTACTCGTGTATTTGTCTCATTTATTGCTATGCAAACACAATTTGCTTTACACTCTTGTTTTCTGTCAATTAAAAGCTTGTGCATTTCTTATTTCTCTTAACTGTCATAAAGAATAGTTCTCAGGAGCTGCATTTGTAACTTGAAGAAAAACACTGTGCAGTTTCTAATTCTCCTGCTCCTTGTTGTCTAACAGCCTGGCAGAGGAGTTACTGTCGGAGGCTGTGGCTGACGTGGCAGCAGAGTTTCAGGATGTTGTGGAGGAGTATGCCGAGGCCGTGTTCACCTCAGAGTTCCTGCAGCCGGTCCAGTCACCTCCTGCTTCTGCGGCGGCGGCGGCTTTGGTCAGCCAGTAGGATGTAGCAGGTAGCTTTATGTGTTGGTGGAAAATCTGCTTTCTATCAGACCAGCTTGATTTTTTTTTTTTTTTTTTTAAACCTACGGCTTTGATTATTTATTACGAGCTTTGTACATTTCCCAAGCAGATTCTTCACTTTGGCGTGAACGTCTTCAACATGTATATTTATTTTGCACATCGACAAAGATCTGAAAACACGCTTATAGATCATTACTTTGATGTAACGACTTCTTCTCACAGGAGTTGCGGATATTTTTGCAATGAAGCCGCAGCAGATGAGATTGTTGAACTGCACGGGGAGCATTAGTCACATTAGTCTTTATGGTCCATCTGTATCTGTGATTGAATTCCTCTGGGAAAGTTAGTTTTGTGTAGATAAGCTTGGACGAGACCATTACGACATTACAGAGGATTATAAGATTACTGCCCTCCCCTTGCACTTGGTTTAAATCTCCCTGAGGATTACTCACACTTTCTATTTTCACGTTGGAATATGGAAATAAATTAATTGCATACGGTCTCCACTGAAATGATGTAGGCAGCCAAGGGCATCGTGTGTTTAATCTGTTGTAACATGAGTTCTTCCACTGCTTCAATGTCTAAATAAAGAGTTCCAATGCAGCAAAATGATGGATTTTCCCCTCACTGTTTATCAGTACGTATCAGTAAACGAAAAAGTGATACACGTCTACCCTTTATAGAGTTTTTAAATTGGTTTTGGCACCACTTATAATCACCCTTTCATTGCTTTTCTCTTTATTTTACCCACAAAACCAAGCAAAAATATGGCCGCCAGTGTATACATACTATCGGAAACGACTGCCTGAATCCTGCATAATCACGGTGCAAAGTGTCAATTCTGAATATAAAATAAACACGACACACTTGGCAGACTGAGAAAAAGTCAGAGCCCCTTGAGAGCGACATGAAAGCTGTGCAGACGGAGCGGAGGGGACACATGCAGATGTTGCTGGCCTGTGGGGACCAGCAGTTGACAGGGGACATACAGTGACTGAATGAATTAGCACACACTGAATCAGCTGCCCCTTTCTTTCTCTCAGGCTGGGTTTCTGCGTGGGCGTCGGAATACGTGCAGGCTTTCACAGGCTCGAGAACAGTTTTTTTCTTTTTTTCTCCCCCCTTACGACGAATAGAAACCCGCTCGTTGTGAAGGATGCGTTGCCGTCTTTGCGTCGACATAAAGAGCATGTGAATGGGAAACACTAAAGGCTAAATTATTCTGCGTTAGTTTCCCACTATTCTCTGAGTTATGAGTCAGAAAATTCAAATGTGTCTGCCAAGAGACGTATAAAAGACGGCAGAATATGTTTCTCTTTGCGAGCCCCACTTAGCATTTGACTGTGAGACTGTGTTGTCAGCAAACCGGAGAAAGGTGAAAGCAGCTTTGTTATTTAATGCGCTCCTTTTTTTGTGCATAGCAAACATTGCAGTAATGCAAAAAATGTGGACTTCAAAGGCTCTACTATAGTAAATATTGAATTCATGATTAATCCAACTGCCACCCTGCACAAACAGATGCTACTGCAAAAAGATCAGTATTAGCACTTTTTTTTTTTCTTTTCTTGCACATTATTAGAATTTCTAATGATCAGAGAGCTTTGACCTTCCCACCAGCCAGCACTGACTCATTGTCAGAGCTAATTTCAGAACTGGTCAGGTCATAGATGGCTGCAACATATTCATGATCCATCGAGGGGGCACTTTTCCACGCAGGTACATCAAGGCTGCTCGGCACCACTGGGTCGGCACTCGAACTGTTTTCCGCCGATGCTCGGTATTTACGCCAGATGGAAGTGGAATCTTATGAATTATTAGTCATGTTTGCTGTTCTCGAGGGATATTCTGAAGTGTCAGAGGGATTTTTTTTTTTTTTGCAGAGATGCTGGTCATCATCAAGCAGCCTGTCATGCAACTGCCACTGTTGCTCGCTTTCTAATATTTTCCTTTGCACGTCGCCGCCTTTTGTCAAATTATTTCGGGGCTTCATTTGCTGTCTGATTTCTCATAAAACACCTGCGGATCAAGGGCAGCTTTTAACCGTTTTCATCATGAATTCAGTCACGGTGTTGCCTTGTTGGGATTGTTAATAAATCTCAGAAGGCGCTGTTAGTCACGAAGTTATTGTCTGAAACGAGTAAAAGAAGAAGAGTCCCTGCAGAGAGCCAGCTAAATTCTCAGTGATGGATTATGGAGACTGTAAAGATTATCTGTCGACCTCAAAGCAGATGTTGCCTGTAGCAGAGTGGATACAGGGGAGTTATGTAGAGAAACTCAGTATTTTTCAGTAAGAAACAGTGGAAAATAGACTGATATGTAGAATATCCCAACAGCAGGAGGAGGAGCAGCTTTGCGTTTTCTTCTCCACATCACTCATTCAACTTCTTCACATCACGGAACAGTGAGCTGATGAACAACAGCAGCTACTATCTATTGAACTCAGCCTCTGTTTTCTTATTGATCAGTTACTGATCAAAGCACAATGATCTGCTTGTGCTTCGTGAGCATCACATCAAAGAGAAACGGAATCTTTCTATCACGTTTGATCAAAGGGTGGAAAAATTATTTATGTTTACTAGAAGGAGCAACACCAGTGTTAAAATGCTCCATTATAAACACAGGGTTAGACATACATGACCTGTTATGATTATTATTGATGAATGAACATAGAGCAGCATGTTACTATGTTTTAACTACTTTATTTACTAACTGTAACAGTCCATCTGATTTAATCTTCTATTAATATGTTTTTTTTTACAACAAAGTAGCCACTAACTACAGCTGTGAGATGTATATATGCGGTAGAAGGAAGGTAAAATGTTAGGTATTTACATTTCCAGCTACTTTCTAAGAGGAAGTACAGGTATCCCCATGTATCCATCCATTATCTGTACACCACTCAATCCTCACTGGGGTCATACTTTCATTACTTTCATAAACAGCAACAATAATTATCTTCTAAAATGACAACAGGTTTTTTTTTTCTATTCCTATTTTCTTATTGTATTATTACTGAAGTAACTTTTTAAATGTGAAACACACCTTTACCACTCTAATCGCTAAAAGACGAAGACATAGAAACACAACGTTTCTTTCTAACTTGAAGTTCATACCAGTGAGCTAACGTTATTTAGCGAACCTCTTCCAACACACCTGATTCAAATGATCAGCTCATCATCAAGCTTTGCAGAAGTCTGATAACGATCCTGATCATTTGAATCAGGTGTGTTGGAAGAGGGAAACATCTAAAACATGCAGGATTGCGGCCCTCGAGGACCGGATGTCGACACCCCTGACTTAGAGTTTAATTGCAAGGATATGAAGGCTCACAGCTACAGAGCAAAGCGGTGGCTTTTAATATGAATACAGTAGATAAAATGGAAAAAAGAATATTTGTTCAACCAGCTTAAATGAATTGTTTTAACTGGTAGCAGCAAATGAGGTTTATCCATATTAAGTAAGCCATTAATATGAACACCACGGGTTTAAGTTAGATGGAGTTGAAGCAGCTGGTTCCTCTCAAATGAGCATTTCTGCCACTTAGTTTTAAGGAAAGTCACCTTCAGGTTTCCAACTCTTCCAATATAATTCAATTATTCAATTCAATTTAAACGAACTTAAAGTGTAAAACATGATCGTTTTTTTCTTTTCTTGTGTATTTTTTTTTTTACTCTGTTCAATAACTCTACTTGAAGACAACAGTAGTTGAGTTGCAGAACACAAATTTAAAGACACAAGGACATCGTGACATCAGCTGCACCATGCTAAAGGAGCAGTGTAGGTAGTTGTTGCACTTTTGCTGAAACTTGAGAACCAGGTTAAAGGGACAAAGTGTCAAGCTGATGGAGTCCACAAAGTGAACTGTCTTCACCAAAGCAGTGGAATAAGTGTGATTTATTCTACAGTACTTTACTTCAGCTGCAGTTTAAATGAACACCTTTTACAGAGTATGTGTGTATATACAGTCCATATATATGTGTGTGTGTGTGTGTGTGTGTTTATGTGAAGCAGTAAAGCACCTATGAAAGGACAGTCGTTAAATGTGATCAGAAAGAGGCGGTCTGCTATCTCACCTTGTGTAAGAGCGCTGTGACACACAGGCTGACGAATATCTTAAAATAAACCATCATTTCTCTAAACTTTCTTGTTCAGTACCATCGACGCCACTGAGTTTTAAATTGTGCTTTCCTCCCATAGGGTTACTGAATTGTTTTCTCAGCCAGGAAACAACAGATCTGCACCTTAGGTGCTAAATTCACTTTGCTGACTACCAACCACTGTGACTCTGTAATGGCTCCCAAAGCCTGATGCTGCTGAAACAGGGTCTCGCCTCCATTTTCCAAAAGCCCCACAGTGGTTCTACCAATATAAACATCTTTACCTGACTGAGCTTCTGTGTACTTTTGTCAAACTTTTGTCACTGTTGCAATCAATTTTCACTCCCTGGACTTTTGCACTCACAATGACTTGTGCTACTTTTCCATTTCTTTTTCAATAAAATATGTCGTATTGAATGCTGGATGTTGTGCGTGATGAATAACGTCAGGCTCCACTGTGGGGACGTCGAGTGCTGCAGTGTGTGAATTGTGTCCTCACTGTCACGAGGAGAAGCCTTCTTACAAATGGAAATTCACTTAATTCAATTAGCGTTTCTTCACTTGGATCCAGTCGGTGCCGCCATTTGGTGTAATCAGTGCCATCAGTCTTGCTTGCTTCCTGGCCTTGAGGCTTCTTCAGATTAGTTTTCCTCAGTGGGATCTCAGCTCAGGACCAGAAGTGTATTGTCACTGGCTTCCATGATGAATACAAACTGGCTGGGTGAATTCCTAGTAGACTTTGGTAATGTAGCGCGTCTGGCTCTCAGATTCCAGGGTGATGGTTTCAGCTGCAGGCGTTTTCCTCCATCAATATTCATTTGTGTGGACATGACTCCCAAACCAGACCCACCCTTACAGGACTGTGTGATCCCATGTGGTCACAGAGGTGAGGGGTGAACAACACACTGATATGTGCCATGAGCAACACAGTAAGAAAATTCATTTTACAGCAGCACAGGTCAAGTATTGCAGTCGTGCTGGATGAGATAAGCTTATGAATGAATTATAGGCAGCCAATAGGTAAAGCATCTGTCAGATTAAAGCAGATATCACAACTGGATTTAAAGGATTTAGAGCTGAGGGAACATGATTCATATGCTTCATTTCTCCTTTATCCCTGGAAAGCAAAAGAGTCGAAGAAACAGACTTCATGCTTGTGCAGAGGCCTTTATTTTGATGTGCTTGGTTTTATTTTTAGATACTTCTTGTCAGAGCCCAAAAGATTTTCTCCTCTGCTTGGGTGACTGCCACTACGTGACCAAGGTGGCACCTGCTGCTTCAGTGACGGATGGTTGACAGGAGTGGTGGCTTTCAGACCTCTCCACATTCTCCATGTCCTCCGCTAAATATTACAGATACAGAAAAATGTGGGCCCACAAGTTACATCCTGTGACAGATCAGACTGATGTTTATATACTCTAGGTTTAATACTCTGTGTTATTCTTCCAGTGTTACACTTCATATGTAGGATTCTGATTTTAATTTTCTTTCTCCACTTCTTTTATATTGCACACTGAAATATATGTAAACAACAACAACAAACCTTTCAGATTCTAATAGCAGTGTCCTGTTTTTCCAAAATACGATTCATTATCTGACTTGATGCTTTTTGTAGCCATCAGTAAAAATGACCATTAACGGCAGGTTGTAAAATGTGGTGATGTGAATTAAACAAAACATCATTTAGGCAGCTAAGAATATTTTTGGAAAACTTAACACTGATGGCCGGACATAGCGAACTCCTACTTTTTATTTTTTGAATAAAGTTAAATTATTTTTCCTTGAATATATTTATACTTAAATAAATATCATATATACCTTTTAATAAACGTTTCCAGTCTATGAAAATGTAACCCGCCTTATCCAATGTCTGGTATTGTTTTAGCTGTTTTAAGGGCAATTTTAAATGGTAAACAGAGTTAGTAAATCTCATTTCTGGATCATAAATAATTGGCATATTGTTATTTGTGATGTATGTCTGCAATTTGTAGAAGTATTGATGCATTTTCAAAGAGAAAAATGCTGCAGGTACACAGTAAAAATAGAATGTTTGAACAGTTTTTACTGTAATTTAAAAAAAATAACAATTTACTATTATTTTACAGATTTTCCAAGTTTTGCTTCGTTGCAGATAATAACTAGTAAAATCACATTTTTAAAAAATTAATTTACATGTTAATTAAAAAAATACAAACCAAAACAGTATATAGTGTCCACTTTAAAAATCTGCACTTTTACAAATGACAGTTTGCTCTTTTACAATGTGTGATCACAAAATTACATTTTCTTTTTACTGTATTTAAATCCACAAAAATATGATTAAGGATGGAAAAATGTTTCCTTTTTCTTTTTTTAAACTGTTGTTTTGTTTACAGATTTTTCCTGTTTTGTTACAATAAAAATAATATCTAGTAAAATCACAGGGAGGAAAAAGTTAACTGTAAAAAAACAAAAAACAGAGCACATCAAATATCTGTATGTAACATATGTACTGTGATGTGTTCGACATTTTTAACAGATTTTTCTGATGCTTTTTTGTTGTTTTTTTTTAACAGATGTTGTTTTGCAGTGTAGCTGCAGCTAAAGTTACTGTAGAGGACAGTGGCAACACTATACATTCAATATATAACTGAAAAGTCAGTATTAAACAGAAATATGCATTTTACTGTAGAGTACTGCAGGTTATACAGTATTGGTTTAAAAATACTGTGCTGTACTGTAATTTTTCAGAAAAATAGTCACAGGGTAGAAATGGGACAACACAGCAGCCTTTTAATATTCAACATGACGTGTGATGTTTCTGCAGACGTGTTTCTCTGCGTTAATAAATCCAGTCAAAGTGATTTAAAGTCCACAGACTGGTTACATGACAGCACAGGATGGCTTCACACTGCAGCTTCTTATGCTGTGTTTCATGCATGAAGAAGACAGTAGAGCAGGTGCTTGTTTTTTTTTTTTTTGTAAATGAAACTTAATTTCGGACACTTGTTCTCGAGTGTTTTGCAAAGTCAGACAACAGGCGGAGGACGGACGCCCTTCAGCAGCCGCAGCCGCGGACGTGCGCACCGCTGGAGGCAGTCGAGCTGCAGACCGGAGCTCGTTTGGGAGCAACTCCGGCTGATGCGAGCAGCGGAGAGAAGAGGAGAGAGGAGAGAGCAGAGAGCTGGGTGGGCATCACATGTGAGCCAAGTCTGCACAGATACAACACGGACCCAAAGTATGTCTGCGGCAGGGGCGGGCCGCCGCTCCGAGGGTGAACGACACTCAGGTGACTGAGAGCAGCTGCGGATCGTCCGGTTCTTGTTTTCGCCCTCTTCCTCACTGAGACGGCGGCTGGAGCTGCTCCGTGCCCGCTTCACCCTGATTCCGTCTGGCAGGCGTCAAGGTGCAGCAGCAGCAGCCAGGAGGGGGACGGACGGAGGGAAGGAAGAGCCGCTGCTTAATTAACTATCCGACAAAAAAAAAAAACCCGCCGCGCACCTCAACGTGACGGCTTTTTGCTGAGTGGCCGCAGAGACGCACCGGAGAGGACACTATGTCAAAGGACACGAGAGTGAAAGGTAAGGAAGACTCTATGCGTGCACCATGTAACAGGTAGAAACTGCGTCTCGTGTGACTGCGTGGCTGGATGTTGGCGCGCTGCGTGGATGGAGGCGAACCGGAGGAATGCGCGACAGTCAGGACGCACCTCTGCGGGAGGTGGACCGTCCAGCCCTCCGGTGCGTCCTCACATCTGTCCGCCGTGCGTGTCTCAGGTGGTCAAAACAAGTCTGTGTGACGCCGTGGGGTCAAATATGGAAGACAAGAGGGAGCACGTAGTGTCAGGTGAGGTGTTGGTGACCTACAGACACAGTCACTGAGGGATTATGTGGTCAACTGTGTGTCTGTGGTTCTGTCTAAACAGGAGATCACAGAGGGCGGGGAGGGGGGCTATTTTTGGTCACAGCTGTTCAAATCCAGAATATGACTTTATTGTGCGAAAAAAGACAACAAAAAGCTGTGCGTTGTGCTTCTCTAAAGCTAGAAAATACATCCGGACATAAACAGGCTGCACAGGAGAAATGAAAAGGGAATAACACAGAGGTTTGCTAATAATAGCAGGCAGGTTGGTTTTTTTTTCTTCATTCAGCTCTTTTGATTGTTAAATTGGATGTCAGCAGAGGCCTCTGAAGTCTGACATTTCTGTGGAATAAAAGCCACTCATTGAACAGATCCCGTGGCTGGCCAGATGTGCCACCTGTTTGCTCTGTGGTCCTTCTGTCAAAGACGCAGGGAAGGATTCTTTATTCTCCTTTATCATTTGTTTCGCTCCCAATAAGATGCATTTCAAGGGATTTTGTCCCTGCTTGAGCTAAATCAAAAGTTCAAATGTCACAGAAAACCAATTGGTTGTGCAGCTTTGATCCACATCAGCTGCAAGGTGGCATCGCTGTGTGTGGTGCCGAGGAGCCTTTGAGCAAATCGCTGAATCTCCTGCTGCTTTGGGTTCAGTGTTCACTACATGGCCTCTGACCTTTTCCACGAAGGGATCAATGAAATATCAGATCATTATGACTCTTAAGTGGTGACACAAATAAAAAAAAGTCACAGGAGAGAGTGGATTTGATTCAGTGTGGTCTGGGCTTCGGTATATTGCTGTCTCGGATTTAAAGTCTCAGACGTGCGATGTGCGAAGGAGAACTCTCTAAAATCGTGAAGTATTTCTCAATAAGCGGATTCAAACAAAGAGAGCACAGGACTCCAATTGACCGCTTCAGCACTCAAAATTTGCTGACATTCAGAAAAGAACCTGTTGCATCCTTTCCCAGTTCAACCGGCCAGTCAGTGAATTATTCAGTTTGGTTCAATTTCATTTATTTCGCCAACAACTCATAACGTAAGTCATCTCTGGTCGCATCACACACTAAGGTCAGGACCTTACAATATCATGTTATAGTGAGAAACTCAGTGATTCCCTTTGAGCAGCACTTGGCGACTATCCATCCATCATCTGTCCACCGCTTAATCCTCACTAGGGTGGGGGCTGGAGTCTATCCCAGCTGACTCAGGGTGAAGGCAGGGGACACCCTGGACAGGTCACCAGTCTATCACAGGGCTACACTTAGAGACAGACAACCAAGCACACTCACATTCACACATTTAGAATCACCGATTAACCTCAACATGTTTTTGGACTGTGTGGAGAGAACCCACGCTGCACAGGGAGAACATGCAAACCCCACGCAGAAAGATCCCGGGCGTCCTCACCGGGACGCGAACAAGTGACCTTCTTGCTGTGAGGTAACAGTGCTAACCACTGATCCACCTTGCAGCCCCACTTAGCGACTATGAAAAGAGAATTTAAAAAATCCCTTTTAATAGTTAGAAACCTTTGACAAACTCAAAGAGAACGTTTTTTTCATGGCTGCTTTGTTAACATCAGTGGCGATATTCTGAATTTCTACATAATTTTACACTTTTTTCTCCAAAGTTCTACAAGCAAAACAAGTTTTGTAAAAACATTTGCACAAAGCGTGCTTGAAAGCAGCTAAACTGCCCTAAATTATACCTCAGCTGAATCAATTTTGACCTTTTCTTTCTTTGAAAATCCGCCCACTGTGAGCTCGACGGTGTTAGAAGGGTGCAATGCTAAATAAACTTTTAGGAAACATGCATCACTAGAATCAGATGAAGCAGTTACGTGAAGCCAAATAAACGATGACAGACATATGAAAGGGAATCAACAAAACAGATTTATTCTTGCACCCGGGCGATGATATTTGGGTCACAGTGCACGAAAGAGTTTATTTGCATGCTGGTGATTTGTGTGCCAATTCAACATGTAACTGCATGGAACAGTCAGGTGCAGCCTGTTAGGCCACAAAGAGTTTGTGTAACTGCATAAATCAAGCAAGTAGTTCTATTTTTAGTAGACAATCTCAGAAGACAAATTAGCTTTTTTCGATGCATGGAAAACCTTTTATTTTTTTTCCTCCCTCTCAGCAGCTGCAGCTGGACGTCTCCCTCAGTTAATCTTAATTATATTGCTTTGAGGCTCTCCGTAAAATTCGCCTGCTAATGGAAACGACACTGTGAGGCCTTATATTACTTCAGCTGAGCTTTATAACATCATGTGAACCCCGTGATGCTCCAGCGGGCTGCCGGCAGATTGATGGCAACGCGCGGTATATGGGGTTATTGTTAGCGCTGCCATGAATCAAGCATGCAGTGTATCTGTTTCCATTAAATGTCGCTTGACCTCAGCTCACAGGGGGACTTATGAAGTAGAACAGTTCTTACGGAGACGTCGCGCTTCAAAGTCCCGCCAAACCAACCAGTAGTGGCTTTTTAATTCCATAACTTTCACTTACGTACGCAGATCTTATCTTTGTCGTTTTCAATTATAGGGAGCGCTTCGGGGGGATTCTTCTTCCTTCTGAGTTTAACTGCCTCGCTTTAGTCACTTGAGAGCAAAAAAAAATCTGCATCATTATCTGGGATGGAGACTGTGGAATAAAAGGCAGGGATAATATAGATATGCGCTATATTTCATCATCAGTGTTTATGATCTAAGCTTTTGAGTTTGCACTTTCTTTCTTTTTTTTTCTCCCAGCTTCTGCAGAAGCATGGCCTCCTGCCCAGATTCACTGACTGTCTATCAAAACAGAAGAGTCCTTCAGCTTTAATCATCCAAACACTGACAGATAATTTGAGCAGAGTAATAAGGATTTAGGAATTATGAGAGCCGTGCTGAGCTGAAAGCTTCAGTCTTCAAAATAAAGCAGGTGTGACTCAGTATTTAAAGAATATTAATGGTTTCTTCATAGGCAGACTGCGAGGAGGATGGTCCTGACTGGAATGTCTCAGCAGCGATTGGATGGGCTAAATTAAAATCCTTATTTTGACTCTCAAATCAACTGAACCTTCATGTCGCGCCACCACGGGGGTAATATTTTAATTTATTCAGACATTTTTACACCTGCCAGCATCTCAGTGTTTTCACTATCTACTGAAGAGATCCACATAAAAGTTGAGCATCTTTTATTGGGAGCCACAACTCAGCCAGCTGGTTTGGGAATTCAGACCATAAACTCCGCAGTCGGTCTCCGGTTTCTGCTTCCTCCAGGCTGCTTCTACACCTGAGCTGCAGCTCGGCGTTGGACGGGTATTTGCGCTGCCACACGTCTCCTAAGAAATTTTGTTTTTCCAATCACCCTCTGTTATCTTCGTCATCCCCCCTCCCGTCGTCCAACCGATCCCCACTGTTTGTCCTCTCGCTGACTGTATTCCAGGGCTCAGTGTGAGGTATCGCACCTCTGAGCATTTTGTATTCCTCGCGCTTGATGGAACTGGATCAGTCTGAAGGGATTTATTTATTTTTTTCCCCCAATTGCTGTCCAAATAAAATAGATGGGTAGCCTACCTGCTGTTTTGCTGCGATTCAGCGTCGAGCTAAAAATAGAGCTGAGCGATGCTGATGAACACTCTCTTCCTACCTGCCCCCTTCTCCTCTCTCTCTCTCTCGCTCTGAAAGTTTTTTTGTCATGTTGTTTCCTCACAGCGAGCACGCTGCCGGCACATTCTCTGCAAAATGGATTAAGTTTGACACTGTCAGTGATTCCCCAAACCCATTTCTTCTTGCTCAGTTTAAGACATGATAAATACTTTATGCTCCGTATTATACTGCGAGCAGCTTGCTGTGTGCAGCGTCGTCGCGCTGGCAAACGCTCCCCAGACAGCCTGTTTAACAAACAGCACCACGGCGCTCTCAGGATTCTACAGAGGCGTGTGCTAATGCATTCAACCCGTGACCTCTGTTATTTTATTTGTTCATACAAAGCAGTTTTAATTTAGATTTAATAGCTGTTTGTCATGGGGATGCACAGTGGGCTCGTGTCAGGGAGCAGCTATTCACAAAGCACACAGCAGCTGGGCCGCCGCTATTTGAGGTCAGAGACAAGGAGGTGGCAGGGGACGAGCTCACCTGGAGTCTAGTCGTTGTCTGTCACAGCCGGATGTCACACTGGTGTTGGAAGGCAAAAGCAGCCTTTTTGGCTTCGGTGAGTCACTTCAGATTTCTGAAGGAGCTCTTAAAACTCCTAAAACAGGCTTTTTTTTGAGAGTGTAATTCGCAGCCTCTGTAATGCAGAACTATTAGCAAAAGCACTTTAAAAATCACAGTGTGTCCTGCCAGTGGGGGAGCAAATGCTTTAAGGAAGTTCATTTGGGGTTTTTCTGGTAATTCTCACTGCTAAATGAATGAAGCCGCTGTCAGAGAGGAACTAATTTGATTGTCAATCACGCTGATGAATTGTCAAGCAGCTTTTTAAAGCTGCTCATAATAGATATGGGACGATTAGCTGATTGATAAAGGAGGAACAGAAGATTAATCAGTTTACTGTATATATAGTTAGAGCCTACCTGATGCTGGAGGCTTTGGGCTGATTTTAGGGAGATACAGATATATTGGTTGATATTGTTTACTTTTATTGAAGCCTTTTACTTTATTACCATGATCTGGATGACTGAGAATCCTCACAGACGTATATGTTAGTTATACTGAAAAGGGAAAATGATGATA